TGCCTGTGCTCGTTGGAGTGGGCTGTAGGCCCCCTGCCTCTAGAAACCAATGGGCCTGGCTGACTCAGTTTCTTCAGAAAGCAAAAGGCCTCTGGGAGGGTCCTTCTGTCTTTTCTATGATTCAGGAGCTCTTCTGCAGCCCAGTCACTTCCTTTGAATATCATAATAAGGCTCCAGATCCTTCTAATAAAAATTTTTTTTCATAAGCATTCATAAAACGTTAAAAATGACATTCTGACTGAGGTAATACATTAAAAGTCATTCATCTGGAAGTAGAGCCGCCCCTTCGTGGATCCTTATCACGCCGCATTGTACTTGCCTCGTAGGCAGCGCAAGTGTATCCAGGGCAGCAGTCTTACCTTTCCGAGCTTGGTATCGCCAGTGCCTGACAGTGTGGCCTCTCCAGGCACTCAGTAATGATGTAGACAGTTGAAAAGAATGGCAGGGTGCGGTGGCTCACGCTGTACTCCTAGCACTCTGGGAGGCCCAGGCAGGAGATGCCTTACGCTCAGGAGTTCAAGATCAACCCCAGCAAGAGTGAGACCCATATCTACTAAAAATAGAAAAAATTAGCCGGGTGTGGTGGCACACCTGTAGCCCCAGCTCCTTGGGAGGCTGAGGCAGGAGGATCGCTTAAGCCCAGGATTTGGAGGTTACAGCGAGCTACAGTGGTTTTTGCTTCCCTAAATAACAGGATGATTGGGGAGAAGCCAAGGAGAAATATATGTCCAATTTAGAAATATCCAAAATTCTGATTGGTAAAATTAACTGTAACAAAGATGATAATACATCCTGAATTAATATGTTAAATTAATATTTTATTTCATTTAAATGTATATTAAAGATCTTCTAGTGATGTTTAAATAATTGAACAACTTGATAGTAAAAATAAATCCAGACATATAATCAGATAAAACTTTATTTATTTATTTAGTTAGTTAGTTAGTTTTGGCTCCTGGATTCCACAAATATAAAACTTTATTTTTTAAGTGATTGTAGAATCACATTATCAGGTTTTTTTTTCTATACCAAGCGGGGGAAGTGTCATGAAAACAATGAATGAATGAATGAATGGAGTGTAAACAGTTTAGATCATTTTGATTTTGATGGAAAAAGGAGGAAAGTGGATACTTAAAACAGCTGACCACTAATGCGTAACAAGGTTCTAGAATGAACGACTGAGGTTAATGAAAATACACATGTTGCAGTTTCATAATTTTGCTTGGCATTAGCTGCTGGTGGTGGGAGCATTTTGCATGAATACCATGCTTTCTGAAGATGTGTGTGGTGTGTGTGTTTGCCCCCCTTTAATAAAGACTTTATATAAAGGCACTTAATTGTAAAAAAATTTGTTAATTGAGGTATTATTCCAGTTCATTAAGTTACCCTGAGCAAGAATTGTGGAGAATTCTTTTGTTCATTCATTTGTTTTGTATTGTCCTTTCAAAACAGTGCATCAATGTGAATGAGTCTATTAAATACCTTTGACATTCAGCAATTCATATGTGGCCTTATGTTATCAAAAACATAGTAGTAGTGTGCTCTAATTTCTAATAGATTTAGATCTAAGGCTACCTGTACACAAGTGTTAGTTACATCATCACCATCGCAGGCACATCCTTTATTGCTTTTCTTTATTTCTTGTAACTTTTGCTATTTAGTGGCTCCCATTCTCTATTTCTAATTTGGTAAAAGAGACTACTTCAGTAAGAGCTTCCACTAAAAATTCCAAAAGACTAGCTCCTTACCCTACTCTCATTTCTACACACCCCTGTTCCTCTCACTCTCCAGGTTATCATCCTCATTTGAAAGCAGAATTGTTTCTCTTGTCTCCTACAAGCCTTGTCCCTCCTCACGCTGGCAGAGAGCCACTGGGTACTGGGACTGGCGGGTGAACACATGTTCTGCTGGGCTCCATTCTCTCCCCTGCCTGTGTAAGTGATACCTGGGTCTTGTGATCACAGGCAGCTCATGCTCTTAAGGGCATCTGAGGCCTCTCTTTTCTGAGAAAGTCCATGGAGGGAGAGGACAGTGAGTTTCCATGAAAAACTTCTTGTCAAGGATTCCAGCTACAGCTTCCCCTAAATAACAGGATAATTGGGGAGAAGCCAAGGAGAAATATATGTCCAATTTAGAAATATCCAAAATTCTGATTGGTAAAATTAAGTGTAACAAAGATGATAATACATCCTGAATTAATATGTTAAATTAATATTTTGTTTCATTTAAATTTGTATTAAAGATCTTCTAGTGATGTTTAAATAATTGAACAACTTGATAGTAAAAATAAATCCAGACATATAATCAGATAAAACTTTATTTTTTAAGTGGTTGTAGAATCACATTATCAGTTTTTTTTTAAATGATGTTCAAAGAAATGTGTCCTAGTATTTCATAAATTAAAGCTATTATAAGAACTTAATATATGACAAACTAGAATTAGTAACAGAAGACAAATAATGTAGAGAAGAAAATATCTACTTGAGAATTAGTGTTGGTATATCCAAAAATGGTATGGAAAAAAGTGAAATTAGATCCATACCTCCATACACTCTATGGTGTAGTGTTAGACATTTTAAAAATAACTACCAAAAGTAGAAGAAAATGGACTAATATATTAGGGCAAATAGACTAATATGTCTCTAAAAGAGATATGTTTATGTCAGAATATGAAGTATGTCATCATAATACAGATCTGTCCATATTTAAATACATAACATTGATAGAACAATATAATAAGTATCAAAAGGAAAACAACAAAATGAAAAATATTCAGCATATTTATTGCCCCAAATACATGAAGAATTGTTGTATAGATTCTCTGCTTTCACTCCATAGTGGTTGAGGACAATTAAAAGTCTACACAAAAGGAAATGCTGTCAAATTAAATTGAATCATATGGAATATGTACAGTTTCATAGCGATGAAAGAAATACAAATTAGAACTCATAAAATGGCAGAAATGCCTAAAAGATGCTTTTTTTTTAAAGCCAGTGTTGGAGGAGGGGCTAGGAGAAACAAGAGCCCATCTACATTACTGATGGGTCTATATTTCTGAAGAGCAGTTTGTCAATATTTTGAGCAACAGCTACAAAACTTTTAAAATCTTCAATCTATCTATTACATTGTGAGAATATATGAAAAGAAAAAAACTTAAAGGAGAAAATGAAATTTGTGCAAGTGTTTACATAATAGCGTTATTTCTCATAATAAAAATAACACAATTCTTACACACAATTAAAAGGAAAATAGTTTAAGCAACTGTTCTATGTTAATAGGATGAAAAACACTATTATAATAAAAAATGATTAATATGTTGATTATGTAGATCCATGGAAATCTATGAAGCTGTGAAAAATAAAGCTGAACAAGTAACAAATTCACTGAACTGTAAGGTCCTTGGAGATGAGCCATGTCTTATATTAAATCCACAGGGTTACACTTAGTTCTTGGTGCACAATAAATGCTCAACAAGTGTTTGTTGAACGAATGCATAAATGGCAATGGCTTTTTTTGGTTTTCTATCCTGAGTTCTTGATCTTCTGCCTGCTCTGACTTCTGGCAACTTTGCACTAGTTCCTAGTTTCACACTGCTCACCTGGATTTCTGAACTCTTACTTGCTCCAATCTTGGATAAACACATACCCTCTCTGGTCCTGGCACCCAAAGAGTGACCTTTGCTCTACTAAAGTGTCCAGGCCCAGAGTGACATACAGCTTGAAGCTCAAAACCACCTAACATGATGTCTGCTTCCATCAGCAAGCATCAGAAAAAAAGAAAACTTCTGAAAAAAATGAAGAAATTTTGTCAAATGCACAAACGAACAATAGCAAATGTGGGAAGAGAATTGAGTAAAGAGTTTAGAGTTAAAAATGAATGGCAGTTATTCCAGAGGAAGGAACAGCTGTATTTGAAAATCTGCGTGGCCATATAAACTGTCTTAAAAAAAGAGTTAAGGAAAATTAAAGCTCATATGAATACATTTTAAAAATTAATTGCAATATTTCCTGGGACTAGGTAGTGTTTCCACAACCCTAGATCCCTGTTAAACAGAGGCAAATACAACCAAAGATCAGACCGTCTCTGAAAGGCTGACAGCACTGACCCTCAAGAATGTGCCAGCTGACTGAGAACATTCTACCCAGAATATGTGCTGAGATTCCGTTGAGAGCAGAGTGGCACATTAATTAAGCCCTTTAGGGCTTTGCAAAAGAGTGTGCTATGAGGTATGAGATGTATGAGGGGCTTCCAAAAGAAGTGTCCTGTATCTTAGAGTCATCAGGCTATGTGTCATAGCGTAACAGTCTAACCTAACAGAAAAGCAAGACGTAGGCACACCTTTGCTAAAGCAAGTAGGAATTCACCTAGTGGCCCCTGCACCCGACCTTTCCCGGTGGCACTGAGTGCCAGGCGCATAAACATTTGATAGCACAATGAATGACTGAATGAATGATTGAACGAATGATTGAATGAAGAGAAGTGGGAGACAGTTTGCCAGATTATATGAAGCAATCACGGCATCTACTGACGTTAATATTTATTTAGGAGGACTGTAATTTATTTTGGGGAGCGCACAGCTCTGAAGAGGCCCAAATCCAGGCAGTGAGCTCTGGGGAGGGACGCCGTTACATGCAAGAACAAAATAGCCCGAAGTCCCTTGGCCAGGAGCGCAGGCCCGAGGTTAAAGCAAGCCCCGCCTGAGGCAGCCGGTCCCTGCGTGTCCCCAGGTCGGCCCCAGCCTAAGCCTCCGTGTGCTATAAATACAGCGGCCCACATGCTGCTGCAGTGACACGGTGTTCCCGCTGCTCGCCGGGACAGATAACATGAATTTGCCCTTTAAACGTCCCAAGCTGAAGCACAGCCCCCGGCCCACCCCTGGCCGCCGGAAGCGCCTTCGCCCCCGATGCCCTCTGCAGAGGAGGCCCCGGGCGGGGCGTGCGGGCACCTGCCGGGCCAATGCGCAGCGCGCGCGCCGGCCCGGGCCCGCCTCCTCTCGCGAGACGCCGCGCGGGGCATATAAGGAGGGCTGCGGGCGAGGGGAGCGGCCCCTCCGCATCGCGCAGGGACGGGCACGGGCACGGGGCGCGAGCGCGGCGCGGTGCAGGCTCTGTGCGTGCGGCTGTCACCATGGGCGATCAAGCTTTGAGCTTCCTGAAGGACTTCCTGGCAGGTGGCATCGCCGCTGCCGTCTCCAAGACCGCGGTCGCCCCCATCGAGAGGGTCAAACTGCTGCTGCAGGTGAGCGCGGGCGCGGGCGCGGGGTGCGGGCGGGCGCCGGGCTGCGGCGCGAGCTGCGGGGCGCGGGCGCGAGCGCCGCGGGGACCTGCGCTAGGCCACAGGCCCGCGCCCGGCCTGCGCGAAGGGGAAGGTGCCCTCTGCGCCGAGACAGGTCCCGCGTCAGTCGCAGATTCCTGGTGTCGGGTGGCGCCCAGCGTTCGGGTGTCTATATATGGAAACCCACCCGGAGTGGTTCGCCGCGAGCCAGCTCCTGCGCCGTGACAGCACCGGCTCCACTACGGCCTCTGAGGCCGGCCTCTCCTTTTGATTTCCAATATCCCTTGCACCTTCTTATCTGCATCTACCTTTCACATTAGAAAAAATAAAAATAATTAACTCAAGAACTCGCTTACTGTGTCCCACGCACCGTGCTGTGTAGGCTGACATACATTATTTCATTCATCTTTATATAACCTCTCTAAGACAGATGAAGCTGAGAGGTTTTGAGAGATTAAGAAAATGTTTTCAGAATAAACTCAGATCACCTTATTTATACTCCCCCCCCCCAATTTTTTCCTCCCCTACCTGGTCACTGAATGGCTTGTCATCATCCCACCTGTCCTGTTTTTCTCCACCTGCCCGAAAGGCGAGGGCCTCTCAATGACGAAAAGCCTGAATTTGAGAGTCAAAATGATCAGCAACAAAAACCTCAATAAATGGCTTACAACGACAGCCTCTCAATAATTGATTACTTGGATAATCTGCTTGAAAATTTGGGGGGGGGTTCTAATGCCTTTTGGATTTATTCTCCTTCCTCTGTTAGAGCATCTACTACTCAGAGATCCTCATCTCAAGGGAGACCAGAGTGACACCGAGGAATTGTCCTCTCCTGCCTACTCTATTAAATTGGGAGCCCTTTGGGGCAGGAATCTTTATTCATTTCTCTCTCTCAGTAAGCCCCTAGTACAGTTCTTGAAAATGCAATAAATGACTAGCCATTCATTCTTTCTATAATTAAATAACCTCTTTTTAAGTTTATTTGGTGCCAAAACATTTTTCTGGACTGTTCTGATAACAGGCAAAATTGAACCATTTTGGTTTATTATCCAGGTAACTAACATTTATTTATTTTCCTCAATATCCATTTGATTTCCTCCTACTCTTTTTTTCTTCAAAAGGCAATCTAGGAAGTGCAAACCTCCTTTTTCTTCTGTCCTCTTCCCTTCTCTCTGCCCTGCCTGTCCTCTGTCCCTCCCCGCACCCCAGGTCCAGCATGCCAGCAAACAGATCAGTGCTGAGAAGCAGTACAAAGGGATCATTGATTGCGTGGTGAGAATCCCCAAGGAGCAGGGCTTTCTCTCCTTCTGGAGGGGTAACCTGGCCAACGTGATCCGTTACTTCCCCACCCAAGCTCTCAACTTCGCCTTCAAGGACAAGTACAAGCAGATCTTCCTGGGGGGCGTCGATCGGCATAAGCAGTTCTGGCGCTACTTTGCTGGTAACCTGGCTTCCGGTGGGGCCGCCGGGGCCACCTCCCTTTGCTTTGTCTACCCGCTGGACTTTGCTAGGACCAGGTTGGCTGCCGACGTGGGCAAGGGCGCCGCCCAGCGTGAGTTCTCTGGCCTGGGCAACTGTATCACCAAGATCTTCAAGTCCGATGGCCTCAAGGGTCTCTACCAGGGCTTCAACGTCTCTGTCCAGGGCATCATTATCTACAGAGCTGCTTACTTCGGCGTCTATGATACTGCCAAAGGTGAGAGGGGCTTGGGGGATGGGCATGTGGAGAGAGGATCCTCTGGAACTCACAGTGGACTTTATTAATCTTGTTTTTTCCCAAGTCTCTGGGCTAAGCCAAGGCTTCTAAACGAGGAGGTGGTATGGTGTGGACAAATTAATAGCTAAAGGAATCTCTATGTCCTCTACCAAAATAAACTCTGGCCTGGAGTTATTCAGAGAGGAAGAAGGTGGAGCCTAACTCCCCTTGACAGGGCCCAAAGCCCTGTCAGTGATCCGTGATCAGTGACCTGAAGCCACTTCGGCATGCCCTGTGTCCTGAGCAGAATGCTGGCTTCCCTGGATCCAGAGAGGGCAGCAACCAACTTGGGTTGGCTGCCTGGTCACACGTGAGAAGCCTCATAAGTGCAGGTTCTTCCTGCAGGGCAGAGCGTGGAGTTGGAGGGGCAGCGTCCTCGTCCTCCCTCCGCCTGCCTTTTGCTGAGCTGCCGAGACAAACCCCTCATAGCCATTTGGCTTCTTGGCTCTGCCCACAGGGATGCTGCCTGACCCCAAGAATGTGCACATTTTTGTGAGCTGGATGATTGCCCAGAGCGTGACGGCCGTTGCTGGGCTGGTGTCCTACCCTTTTGACACTGTTCGTCGTAGGATGATGATGCAGTCTGGTCGGAAAGGGGGTAAGCCTGAGCTCTGCTGAGCTAAGTCTACCTTATTCTTCACCAAAGAAGAACAGTATTCATTATTCTCAATTCTTCATTATTCAAAATTACTTGTCAAAATTATTTGATAGCAACTTAGGGGGAAAAGATGGTGTCAATTACCCTCAACATTCTTAACTACTTTTTATTAAAGAGCTGATAAGAACATTAAAATGAGATATTTTACTTTGTATCCCGCATTATGGAGACCTTAGCCTCCATGTGAACATGAAGAAAAAGAATTAACTGTTTGTTTAAAAAGAATTCTTGCTTCCCTTGTCTAATTATTACAAGTGTTAGGGGAGACGGTGTTTTAGCTGGGTGAGAGATGGCCGGACGCAGTGTGTTGTTGCGAGAGAAAACGGTTTGGCTTCTACAGGGTGAAACATGAAATTGCCATTTTTCAAGTCAAAAACAGTCAAATGTTAGCCATTTCATAGGGTTCAATCTAATAGCTATACCTTTTTATTTTAACTGTGTAACTTTGGGTAGTACAATCTGAGAGCAGGCCTCACTTTTCTCACCCATAAAGAAGGTGACCACGTAGCATAATCCTCCGGCTCCAGCCTGCTCCCTTCCTGTTTTACAGTTGCACAGTCTGTGAATTGACTGGTTACTCGCCCCACTTCTTCAGTGATCTTGAATTAACAGAGTAGGAATGACAGGAGTCCTAGCCTAACAGTTAAGCGAGGAAGGAGATGTCCAGTTGAATGTTGCATAGAGCTGGGGCTTAATGCCCAAGTGATCTTAATTTTACAAAACAGATGACATAGTGTGCAGATGTCTTTCAGAGGAAAAGTCTCTTTCCTCCAGCGTTACGGAGCCCTCACCAACATTTGTTTCCACAGCTGATATCATGTACACGGGGACAATCGACTGCTGGAGGAAGATTGCGAAAGATGAAGGAGCCAAGGCCTTCTTCAAGGGTGCCTGGTCCAATGTGTTGAGAGGCATGGGTGGTGCTTTTGTATTGGTATTGTATGACGAGATCAAAAAATACGTTTAATTGCAATTAAAACGCAAGTTCACTGGTGTGCAGTGAACTTGATCCATAAATTCACAGATCCATTGTGTGGTTTAATCGACTATTCCTAGGGGAAGTAAAAAGACATCCTAGGATAGAACCAGACCAAAAGGGATACCTCAGAAAAAATGCTTCATTGAGGGTGTTCATTAAACCACACATGTATTTTGTATTCATTTTACATTTAAATTCTCACAGCAAATAGAAAATAACTTATCATACATGTTCAATTAACTGAAGAACTGATAATGAAGAAATGACTGAATTTGAAACACCAATAAAGACCACTTATTGCACATTCTCTATTTTATTGAACTCTCATTGACTACTAAATGCATTAAAAAGACCATAAATGCATATTTTCTTTTCAAAATTTTTTTCCTGGGGTGTATCCATCTGATTTTTATTTTTTAAATTTTTTCGTAAATGCATATTTTCTAGCATGACTCATTTATCAATCAGTGACTAAGCTTCTAAATGTCTGGTATTACACTGATTATGTATTATATGAGTAACTACAATGGTTAAAGTTCTGATTTTCTCTCTTTTTTTCCCCTTCCTTTCCTTTCCCTCCCCACTCCACCAGAGTTCTGATTTTCAAACTTAGGTTATGTACTCTCTTTATCTTACCTCACCCAGTGTTGCTGTAGGCTTGAAAGTGGTAACATGGAATGTGGCTTCCATATATCTCACCTTATTTTATGCACTTTCATGCAGAATTCTGAGGCTGGGTGGTGGCTCTCACCCATAATCTAGCACTCTGGGAGGTTGAGGTGGGAGGATCACTTAAGGTCAGGAGTTTGAGACCAGCCTGAGCAAGAGCAAGGCCCTGTCTCTACTCAAAATAGAAAATATTAGGGCGTGATGCTGAGACAGGAGGAACAGTTGAGCCTAGGAGTTCAATACTGCAGTGAGCTATGATGATGCCAGTGTACTCCAGCCTAAGTGCAGAGACTCTCAAAAAAAGAAAGAAAAAAATAGAATTCTGAGATTCTGCTAAAAGCTTTAGCTTTAAAAATTTTGCATGATTAGTGCTCTGTTTTAGTCCTTTTAGAGAATTGTAATACTTAGAATTTTATGAAAGTGGATAGTGTTCATTGAAAATCAGTTTAGTTCAGGCTGTAACAAAGTACCATACACTGGCGGGCTTATAGGCAACAGACACTTATTTCTTACAGTTCTGTAGCCTGGAGGTCCAACACTAAGGTGCCGCCATGGTCAGGTTCTAGTGAGGGCCCTCCTCCGGGTGTAGACTACTGACTTCTTGTATCCACAAGTGGTGGGAAGAGAGTGAGAGCTCTCTGGGTCCCTTTGATCAGGGCACTAATCCTATCCATGAGGGTTCGACACTCATGACCTAATCACCTAATCACCCAAAGGCCCCACCTCCAATAACCTCCACAGTGAGGGCTTAGGATTTCAACATATGAATTTTGGGGGGACACAAACATTAGGTCTATAATATCAGTTATAAAGCCAGTATTTAATACCTGTTAGGCTCTGTGGAAGACAGAAAAACAGGAGCCTGCCCTAAAAGAAGTTTAAGTGATGGGGCGGGTGAAATGTTAAATGAATTAATGAGAAATAGGAGGAGGGAAATGAAATGGGGGGAGTGGTAGGAGATGGACTTAGAAAGAAAGAAAATAACTAGACTTAGATACATGGGTATATAAAGTATCCGCCAGTACTTTTCTGTAACAATTCATCAAGACCCTGAAAGTCAGTTTGGGATTTGCTTCTGAGAGATTCGTGAGCAAGATGAAAATATTTAAAATTTCAAGTAAGAAATTAATTACTTTTGGACTAGGAAAAGGCAAACAGTCCTGACTTGTGTGATTGATCTGGAGGAAACAAGGCGCTCTATCCTAGGCAAAGCTTGGAAGGCAGGCAGATGGCTTTTGTGTTTTCCAACAGGTGTTTGGGGGTCGGGGTCTCTGTACGTTCTGTTCTTTACCCTCCTTCCTAAACTCTACTCACTCCTGCCTCCCCAGGACAAAATCGGCTGCATTGCTTTTACCACAATAACCCAGATCTGGGTTTTACCAAATCCAAGGTTACATCTAACCTTTCCTAGCACATATCGGGGCCGATGGAAAAGGCCAAAGGGCTACACAGAAGGTCTCTCTCAATCCTGTGTCCTGAAGGCCAGGTGACCAAAGTGTGCTGCTGGAGGGAGGCCTCCTGGGTAGCAACATCGTTCTCATGTTGCTTTTCATTCTAAGGATGATATGAATGATCCAAATTCTGTTGCTAATAGAAAATAAAAGCAGGGCAGGCTAGTAGGACGCATACTTTTGCGGAGCATATCTAAAAGTAGGGCCAGCTGTTTCAGCATGTTCAAACCTAAGAGTTTAAGGGGAGAGGGAGGAATGGACAGCAATGAACAGTGGGTCCTCCCAAGAACCATCATTGTTTTCTAGCTTTAATTCTGTCCTCCCAGGCATGGAATAGGAGGGGAGAAAAGGAATCGACATTTACGAAATAGTGCACATTGTCAACATTCTGCCTGTGGCCCAGTTGTCGGCCTTACCCCATCCTGCTAAGGTTACCTCTGGTGCTCTTTGTCCCAAGAGCCCTGCTGAGTCAGTTTGTCACTACAGCTACTTCATTCACCAGGAATTCCTAGAACACCACACCTCTGGTAGAATGCTGTCAACTGGCGGGGCAGCGGGCAGGACTTCCCTCACCATCCTACCCTCCTGATCCTCACACCACATCATCACTGTGAAAAACTGTGTCATGCTTGAAGGCCTGGAAAGGTGCTTGAAAGCCTGGTTTACGTGAAGGTGACAACTTGGAATAGAGTGTCAGAGTCTCAGGTACCCCTCCCAGGAATTGCTCACTAGCCCCCTTCTCCACACAGTCCGCTCCTCTCACTACCAACATCCCAGTCATCCTTTAGGTATTTTCCCCTAAATCCTCACCTATAGGCATATCTTTTGAGGCCTTATTTTATATTTTTGAATGTATTTCAAAAATTATGGAGGATGATACAAATGGAGTGAACCCATAATAGTAATAACTGAACATTAAAAAAAAAAACTTATCTCAGTTATTTGTGTTGAAATCTCAAGTAACTGGATATCTGTTCCCATTCTATTGTACCCTGTAAAAAATGTGGCATGACTTGTGTTGAGGCAGTGTTGACTTGCACGAGGTGCAAGGCTACAGGGGATGTGAGCTCTATAGGGACAGCTAATCTTTTTCACAGCATATGCCTGGAACCAAGAAGAGAGCCTGGACCATAGAAAGTGTTTAGTAATGATTTGCTGAGTACAAGAAGGGATGACCCCCAAAATAAGTACATCTATTATGTATCAATAAAAAGGCAAATTAAGGCCAAGCAGTGTGGCTCATGCCTGTAATCCCAGCACTTTGGGCAGCTTGAGGTGGAAGGATCGCTTGAGGCCAGGAATTTGAGACCAGCCTGGGCAACATAGTGAGACCCTGTCTGTATAAAAAAGTTAAAAATAAATAAATAAATTAGCCAGGTGTGCGGATGCACGCCTATAATCCCAGCCTATCTCTGGAGGCTGAAGCAGGAGGACTGCTTGAGTCCAGGGGTTTGAGGTTGCAGTGAGCTATGATGATGCCACTGCACTCCAGCCTGGGCAACAGAGCAAGATCCTGTCTCAAGAAAAAAAAAAAAAGAATAAAAAGGGAAAAGTCCATCTAAAAAGCACAGAGAGAGAATATTTCAGAAAAGGGTTTCTAGCAGTTTAGGTGAAATCTTGAGCATGTGAAGAGCACAGTGGCCATCTAACAAGCTTGCTGGGGTTGTATAATGTTATAACGTAAGGGATAAAAATTTATGGCTGCTTGAAATCCAAGTTTCAAGATCGTAAATAAAATTTGACAACATCTACCAGGCCACAAATTCCTCTTTACTTGCTTCTGAGTATCATGATAAAGTAAAGTTGATCTCATTATTCACGATTCCACATTTACAAACTGACCTCAGTTTGCAAATTACCTACTGAAATTTATTTGTAACCCCTTTGAGGTCCTTCTCGGATACACACAGAACAGTAAAAAACGTTGTCGGATGAGGTGGAACGAGACAATACTCTACCTTTTTGTTTCAGTTCTCATAGTATAAACAAGTGTCTTTTTCATAGTCTATTTATTTAGTGCCACAGTAATTCTTTTTTTTGTTTTTTTTTGAGTCAGAGTCTCACTCTGTTGCCCAGGCTAGAGTGAGTGCTGTAGCGTCAGCCTAGCTGACTGCAACCTCAACCTCCTGGGCTCAAGTGATCCTCTTGCCTCAGCCTCCTGAGTAGCTGGGACTACAGGTATCCACCACCATGCCTGGCTAATTTTTTCTATATATTTTTAGTGGAGACGGGGGTCTTGCTCTTGCTCAGGCTGGTTTCAAACTCCTGACCTTGAGTGATCTACCCACTTCAGCTTCCCAGAGTGATAGGATTATAGGTGAGTGCCACAGAAATTCTACTGTTTAAAATGAGCTGGGCATGATGGCCCATGCCTGTAGTGCCAGCTACTCAGGTGACTGAGGCAGGGAAATTGCTTGAGCCCAGGAGTTTAAGGCTGTCTGCTGATTGTGTAAATAGCCACTGCACTCCAGCCTGGGCAACATAGTGAGACCCCACTTCTAGAGAATAAAATAAAAATAACATAGATTCCAAGTATAGACATAGACTCCAACATAGACAGCTGAAGCACTGTCCAAGGTTCCTGAGTACAAAAAGGCTAAGATGTGCCTTATGGAGAAAATATGTGTTAGATAAGCTTCCTTTAGACATGAGTTATATATAGTGCTGCTGGCCCTGAGTTCAATGTTAACCAATAATATACATTAAATAAGGTGTTTTTTAATATAAACACACATAAAACAAGACTGTTGTGACCAGAGACTCATGGGAACCTTACCCTGTAATTTCCCCTAGGAGCAGTGGTTCAGTATTTGTTAGTTCAGTGTTTGATTTTATAGTACATAACTACCATAAATAATGAGAATCAACTGTATTAATATAATTTTTAAAGTTATAAACATTATAGTAACATTACCTGTAACATGTCTCACATAAAACATTCTGTTTATGACTTTTGTGTTCTACATATTCAATTTTAATTTTCATAACCCTTTATAGTGGGGCATCTTTAAACATTTTATTGTAGTTTAGTTTTGCCATTTTTTGCAATCATTGATGAATCACACATACTGAGTGACACAAATGGTTTCACATTGGCCTGAATGCCGTGGCTGATGCAAAAGCACGAGATGGTCCTTGCTCTCAAGGAATTTCTTTTGCTTTTCCTAGCTAAAAGCTTATTTTAATAATCC